CAACAATACTGTAAATATTAACCATATAGAAAGAGACATTTTTAAGGACTATAGCAAGGGATGAAATGATGTATACACACTCATAGTCATGACACACATACTGTAAAAAATTGCAGATTATAGCAAATACTGTATTTAACTTCATGCATCATTAGGCCTTCAATAAAACCTCTAAGCGCTAAATAAGTAATAACAAAACTATTATTTTTTTTAAAAGACTTACTTGATCCAGAAACATGCCAGTCTTTGCATTCCTTGATGGCAATATCATTGTCTAGGCTTATTTTAATTCTTCCACTATGAGCTTTGTTATCAAAGACTATCTGTAGATATTACAGAAAAGATATTATTATTATTATTATTTCTAAACACTTCTATCACTCACTAATTCTGATAGACTGAATTTGAGAATTATCCATCTAGCAAATTAAAAAAAATCTGAACAGTTTATGCCAAATGCTTGGGTAATAAAAGCAAAAGCAAAATCCATCCATCCATCCATCCATCCATCCATCCATCCATCCATCCATCTATCTATCTATCTATTTATCCATCCTTCTTCTCAAAGAAGCCATAAAGATAGTTAGCTTGAAGTATAACATTGAAGCAGTGGTGGCATATAAAAAGTATGTCTTGTAGAAAACAGAAAATACTTAGGGTTCTCCCCCTCCCTATGCATTTAGTTCTATCAGTGTACCATTCTTCCCAAAATATAAGCAGTTTAAAAATAAGATGGAGAAATAAAATGAAAGAAGACTATATTTGAATAACTCTGGAATATAGTTACATGCATAAGCAAAAGTATTAATATTATTCTTAACACAATTCAAAAACCTAATACTATCCAGAAATATGTTTTGAACTTACTAAAAGGAGAAAAGGTGAATTACTGAATTAGTATTTGCAGCTATGGGCACACAACTTTCTGGTAGCAATAAATGCCTCTTGATGTAGATTCAGCTTCGTAATTTTACTTCATTCTCTACTTCTCCTACGTTGCTAATATATATACTGCAACAATCCACTTTAAGAAGAAGTTGACACAATCTAGGCCTATTTCTCCCATCCAAACCTACTCTTCAGAAAAAGACTAATTACAAGTCTTCATCAGGAGTTCAAACTTTTTTTTACTTGCTTTTCTGTTCATGATGCTACCTAGTTTACCTGCAAATAAACAAGCAGGCTCAGAAAGTTTCAAGGACTCCATATTTTTACTTACTGTTAGTGTGAAATCATAGCAGTCTGGGAGTTCATGTTGTCGAATAGTCTGGAGATTAATGGCCTTCAGTTTGAACGTGAGTGTCAGAGTCACAAGTCTAGAATAGAGACTGGAGCTTTATTTCACCATTACCAAAAACATTCAAGAATATCAGCAACTTTTATTTCTCCTCACCTATGGAAGTCTAAAGTTAAATTGAGAGGAGTTTTCCTCAGTGTCCCATTTTCCAGAGGCAGTATTGGCTCCACATAAAGACACTCTGTGGGAGGACAGATGGTTTATATATAGAAAATACTCAACATTTCATAAGCTGAAGACGATGGAAAATTAGTAATAAGGAAATGAAATTCAGTCTGGTCATTGGTAGTCTTATCTAAATAATATGAGAAGTAAAATCTTTCTTCGTACTTGCAAGAAAAAAGCAGCTATGGTTTTTTTATTGATTTAATGTATACATTTATTGAATTTCTGCCTTTTGGGAATGCTTATTTGATCATTAATCTCTGGAAATAGCTTCTACTTAAAAATAAACAAATAAAAGGAAATTTTATATTTGACCCACAGATCAGTACCCTAATACTAAATAAGTGTAGAATTACAATATTATTTCTACAGTTACAAACTCTTCTATTTATGACTGTAGAATGGTACTTCAGTAAGTTACTTTTTTCTAAATAAAATGAAGAAACAGTAATTTAAGAAGTCCTTATAATTATAATGTAATTACTTTTATATGTTACATATTGGTTTATGTAATTGCATACGCATATATCAAGGAAAAAAAACCCTCAATCTTTCAACAGTCCTTTAATATCTTTCAAAGACAGTAAGTCTGAACTGAGATGTCTTTATAGAATTCAGCCCAGTATTTTTCAGAAATTTGTGCACATATATTTACTACACTAGTTCACTAATAACAGGGATCATTATTTATGTCACTATTTCCAAAATCCAAAAGGAAGTCACAATGTTTCTGGACTACCATGTAACAGCCGCTACCAATAATTCTGTATGTTCAGCATTCAATATTAATGTTGAACAGGTAAGGCTGACCACTCAAGTTTATTCACAAAGTTTCAGAGGTCCAACCTGAAAGAGCTAATTCAGCCAAGATATTTTGGCATTTGCCTAAAGCACATGAACAAAAGAATGGCATCCTGCCCAGGTCAGGTACATAAGCTAACTGGATTTGTAAGTTCATCGTAAGGTGATGTTTTCTTCAATACTTCAGGGCAACAGAGTAAGAGAGCAAAATAATCCACACAGCAAACATTTATGTCATCCAACAAGTTACTAATGCTTTCTATCACATGTCTGCGATCTGAGGCAGCTGTCTCAGGGTAAATCTCACCCTGAACCTGAATCACCAATCAATACTGAGATTACACAACTGATGTCTGCAATGTTGACTTGGCAAGACACTTTTGGGGAAGAGGGATGGCAATCTGTTTCAGTTTTGATTATACTACAGTATCTTACAAGTAAATGCACCCTTAACTCTGTTCAATAATTACCGGTATGAAGAACCTGCTTCAGATACAATTAGAGTCATCACACTGGCCTACGAGTCACCAATTTTTATCAGCAGGGTATCAGGCCACTGGAAACTAAACCACATACACCCCAAAGGTGCTTTTTCAAGAGGCAACTGGACTTTCTGGTTTTTCTTTGAAGATGTTTTGTTTCTCATCCAAGAAGCTTCTTCAGCTCAGAGTTCAAGAAGCTTCTTGGATGAGAAGCAAAAAACATCTTCAAAGAAAAACCAGAAAGTCTAGTTGCCTCTTGAAAAAGCAGCTTTGGGACAACCATGACCTGGATGACTGAGAATCTCCATAGACATAAACCATGTACAGTTGTATGGAACATATTAGGTCTGACTGAAGCTGACATTGTTTGAGTGCCATGGGGCAAGGAATTAAGTGAAGCACTCACATCACTACTGCAGTATTCATTGACTTAAACAAGACTCTAATGTACAGGTAGCCCTCACTTACCAAACATAGTTGCTAAGTGATATAGTCATGAAGTAAAATATCATATAACAGTGCCACACTCAGGATGTCATTAACCAAATCACCTCAGATTGTTAAGCGAAATGCCATGTGATCATGACTTGTGACTTCCTGCCATCTTCCACAATGATTTTACTTGTTGGACGTCAGATGTGAAGGTCACAAATGGCAACCACATGATCATGGGATGCTGCATCTATTAGAAATACATGCCAATTGCAAAGCAATTGGTCTTAAACCTATCTTTTCACTGTTGTCATAACTCTGAACTGTTACTGAATGAAACAATTGGTAAGTGAGGACTATCTGCAGCACTTGAGTTTCTTCCGTACAATGGTACCTAATAAAATATCTGAAGTGTCTATCCATTATACTGTTATGTTACTGGAAATTACCATTTATTAGTATTTGCTTTTAAACACTATGACTTTTCCTCAAGTTCTCTCATTCTCTCTCATTCGTTCTCTCTCGTTCTCTTTCTCCCTCTCTCTCTCTCTCTCTCCTTCCCTCCCCTCTCTTTCACCCTCTTTCTCATTCTCCTCTCTCTCTCACACACAGAAACAATCTATCTGATTTGAGTAGTTCAGTATATCACCAGTTTCAATTTCTGGGTCAATATCGAAAGTGTCATTTCCAGGGCTGATAATTCCTCTCTTGTAGAAGTACTGACATATTGCCATGGGCATCTCTTCAGATCCTCTCTTTTCATAGGCATGATTTCCAACAGAAATAGTACGCAGCTGTAAGAACTAAGCGACAAGGGACAACCAGTTAATGGATCTGCCTGTTAATTAAAACTGAGCTAATTAGAGAGGCAAGAGGATGTCTGCGAGGGAACAGTCTGCTTTTCAGCTTTATTGACCTCATGAATGGAATTGCAAAGACTAAGGTTCAAACAAAACTCAATGAAATTGATTCAATTACAGAAAACCTCAGTTTTATGGGCCAATTGGCCATGTTACATTTACCTCATGAGGCTATCATGAAATTAAACGGTCTTCATCTCTTGACTCATTAGAGCCAATGTAAGCTATACGTTACAGGAAACCAATCTGACATTTCTTCTGTTCACATATATTGACGGCTTTTTTTTCCCCAAGTTTAGTTCAAATTCAGTATACAATTTTACTTTTATACAATATAAGGATGCTTTTTATATTTAAAAAAATTACCTGGTTTATTGCGAAGGAGATCTGGTCATAGACCTCGGTTTGCGTGTATACCGCATAGGTGTCATCCATGCTGTCCGTATAACCTTTCAGGAATAGATGCTTAAAGGATATCGTGTTTTCTTCTTTAAATGCAACCACCATTTGATTGCTTAACCCAAAAACTACAAGCTGGAAATATCCCCCCCCAAAAAAGTTAAATATTAGCAATCTATAATGTAAACTTTTATCCACAAATACTGGTCATGCATTGATAATTACAGCCCATGTCATTAAATGTGGAACTCATGTAGTATGAACTTTGTGTCAGTATTATCAGAAAGGGAATCCTTCAGCTAAAATATTCAATAAGTTCATTCTGACCAGAAGTACATTAGTTTTTATAGCTCTTGGAGCATTCTTAGCTGGTTCTATCCCTTCCACCATTCCCTACGCTTTCCTTTGGTAGCTTCATCTTACTCTGGGAGTATGAAAGGTATCTTGTAAATAAATCAGGAACTGAGCATCTAGAAAAGGAGAGCTGGGTAGCATCCCTCCTATTTTACAAATGTTATTTTCATTCAGTGGTCAAGCCTTCTCCTAAATTTATGCAATTATATTCTTGTTACCTTTATAATTTAGCCCTGTTCAATAATATTACAACTGTGTTATTCTTTTTGATCTTGGATATGGTTTGCTGAATAAAAACATTGGATAATATTAGTATAGTTCATATTGGACATTTTCATACTATATTCTGAACACACAGAGACAATAGTTGGTGAGCAATGAGCTACTAGAAGGTTGAAGATTGACACATATAATAATGAAATGAAATGAAACTGCAGCTGTAATCTTGATGTTGTTCATTGTCTCCACTTGACCTATTCTGTCCATTACCCCAATTCAGCAGCCATCAGATATTTGGACTAAAAATCCTTTAATTCCTAAATGAGATAGCTGACACTTATGAAAGTTCTTATACAACACAGATGAAGAACATATGATGAGGATACATATAATATTATTAAACTTGTCAATACTAAATACCTGACAAAAATATTTTCCTCCAAAATATTCAGGATGCAAGAACACTGAGATCATTTCCATATTTACAGATGGTCCTCGACTTACAACGTGACCCGACAAATGCGCGCCCGACAAATGCACGCCAACAAAACCGTGCCCACAAAAGCGGTATTAGGGTTAGGGTTAGGGTTAGAATGTTGTTTTCGCGTCCCAATATGTTGTTTGTTCATGGCGCGCTTTTGGGGCGCGGTTCTGTCGGTGCGGTTTTGTCGGCACGCATTTGTCGGTGAACCGACTTACAATCACAATTGTGACCAGAATTTCTGTCGCTAAGCAAGGCAATGAGTTGTAACTGATTTTATAATCTTTTTTGGGGGGAGGGGGGCATGGTTTTTAAATGAATCACTGTAGTTATTAATTGAATTACGTGGATTACGTAAACAAATCCTGCTTTCCCCATTGACTTTGCTTGTTGGAAGCCAGCTGGGAAGATAGCAAATGCTGATCACATGTTTCTAGGATGCTGTAACCATCATTAGTATAAGCTGGTTGCCAAGCGCCCAAACTCTAATCACATGACTGTGCCATCGTAACTTCAGACAGTTGCTAAACAAATGGTCATAAGTCAAGGACTACCTGTATTAAGGTCTGAAAGTTTCAAATACCATACAGATGGTTCTGAAAACACAATTCTCAAAGCGTCAGTAAATCAGGGGTTGCCACTTAACTGGTTATAACTTCTTGAATTTGTATTGTACTAACCAAAAATGCATGAGTTAAAAAATAATAATTGCACCGCAGCTCTGTACCTCACCTGGATAGTAACCATGGCTATTTTCAGAATTTGTATCCCAAGCTTCCACGGTTTCCTTCCTCGGGCCCAGAATTTTTCACAGGGATTCATAAAGAAAAATTTAAGTTTCCTTCTCAACTGATCTTCCAAAAGTTGGCACATTGACGAATTATGTTTTACATTGTATAAGTTTTCATCATCCTGAGAACTGCAGCTGCCTACAAGCACTTCAGGATTTTCCATTGCTGGAACAGAAGAAACATTAGCAATATTGGAATGATGAACCAAAAATGCTATACATGTGTTTGTGAGCATATCTAAAACTCAAGGTGCAATTGTCTCCTTTAACAATGATAGTTTCAACCCTGAACTACAAGTATTACAGCACCTTCCATGTCAAGTTATAACCAGCCGATATTATTTCAACAGCTAATCATAGCAGTGTAAAAGATATTAACAGTGAAGAAAAATAAGTTCTCCCACAGTTCTCATGTTCCTATCATAGAAAGCACTATTTTTGGAACCAAACATAAGGACGTTTTTTCCATAAACACATTATTTTGTATATCAGTTTTCCTGTTTAGATTTTACAGTTGGATATTGTTTCAAGAGTTATTTCTAAAAATATATATATTTAAATCCCCCCTCTCCTCTCTCTTATGTGCACATTCATCCTTGGCTCTTGCTTGATTTCTGCAACATCATGTAATGGCTGAGAATCACGACTTCTGAATGGTTTAGAAGTCCAATAAATGAATAATTGTGTGTTCTTTAGGACATGTGTATTATATGGAACTCCATATAATTATTCTCACACAGAAAAGCCAGAGGACAAACCAATTTTTAAATCCAACTTCTTGAAATGCTGTGAGCCAAGAAATTTTAGCACATTGGGAGACTTCCATAAACAACTTCCTGGGCTTTTTAGTATTAGGAACCCTAGAAATTACAATATATTGTTTTCTCTTAGAATACAAATGTCACAGACTCTGCTTGAACTTCCTTCTAGTTCTACTGACCCTCTCCTTCACAGAAGGCATGTGAATTATTTAGTGCTGCATTTGCAACTTTGGCCTTAATATATCACAAGTTTTTGGGTAGAGGACAAACATTAAAAGCAGGTGCAGCTCCATTCCTAAGTAAGTGTGTTCAGAGTTAGGTCCCTCATCTAAAAAATGGTGCTTTCTCCCATTCATGTCTGGGTAGAATGACAAGGAAGCAGATCCTCTGTGAGAATGATGACAAGGTGTCATCAGCATCTTCAATACTGAAGATACCAGAAAACCAGGTTAACTAAATTCAATGAATTTACTCTCGAGCACTTTATGTGCTCAAGAAATAATTGCACTATTGGTATTGCTATGAAAAACATATCCATGTCAGAAATCTTTATATCAATTCTATAGAATAGAATAGAATAGAATAGAATAGAATAGAATAGAATAGAATAGAATAGAATAGAATAGTTTATTGGCCAAATGTGAGTGGACAAACAAGGAATTTGTCTTCGGTGCATAAACTCTCATTGTACATAAAAGCTATAAGTGATAAATCATGATCATAGTCATCATAAAATTAATTCATCATAAATCATACGATACAACACTTTGGCATAGTCATTGGATACTAAATAAGCAATCAACATAAATGTTGATATATGGAGATAAATGAAAGGAAAATGTTATCTCATTTGACACTGGCATTTAAACGAGAATTGATTTTCTGCTCT